ACAGAAATAACTATGGTTGAGGTTACTACTTACATATTATCACAATAATATATAAATTAGACGGTAGCGGAATTCTGTGTCAATTTTTCAAATTACTTTTCAGCTGCAAGACATCAATATCGAAAAGCAAATGATTTTGAGTTTGTGTACGTTTTTATTTTTCATTTACATCTGTGGCCAATGGAAATTTTAAATTTATATTGAAAATCTAATATTTAAAATTTCAAATAAAATTAAGTAAATGTTGGGAAAATGTGTTAAAAATAGTATTTTTAGTTATGCTAAATAAATAAATAAAAGAAAAATCTTTTTAAAAAAAAAATTCATTGTGAATATAAAAAAATTGCAGAAAAATTTTTAAATGAAAAAATAAAAAATAAGATACCCAAGGGATTGTAGTTTCTCACCTTACTAAAAGAAAATATATAATGTAAGAGAAAAATTATAACCGTTGAAACGAGGCGACGAGTACACACCCTTGTCCGGGCAATAATTCATTGAAATTATCATTTTGAACCGTCACGTTTGAAATGAAAATTGTTGCACAGTATTTTTCATTTATTTATATTCATATAAATTTGCCACTGAGAGACATTTTAAATTACATGGCAATCGGTGTTTGCCATCGAAAACTGTTGCGTGGCTTAAACTCTTGTTATACATATTTCATCGCCAACAGTTCGTCCCCTTCCGGATAGTCACAAATGTCCTAATGTTTTACCTATTCAAAATAATAGTGTGTGCAATGATTTATAATAAAAAATATTAATGAAACTCGATTTAATATCTGATAACAAAGCCATATTTTTCAGATTATCTCCATTAAACCTCAAATTAATAACAGAAGGTTAGTATTTGATAAAAATAACTAAAATTAAACGCAAGCAAAATTTTCTAATCGCAGCAAAAAAAAAAAATAGTTAATACATGATGTATGCATAATTTTGAAAATTTATAATTTTCGATTCAAAAATAGAATTGAATAGTTGAGTTAATCAATATGTTTTTATCATTAAAAAAAAATCTCTGAAATAAAAGGTATTTAAATATGAAATGTTCTGGAAATTACAAAAATTATACACAGTGTTCAAAAATTAAGGAAGCAGGTCAATTGTTGCAAACAATAAGAATAATAGAAACCCGTTTATTTACGTACTAAACACTTACAAAATATTTGTTAATGTTCTTTATGTAGAAATCAATAACTAAGTGAATCGTTTATAATACATATACTTAAAAGTATTTTTATTGAATGATCATTTTGTAGTTGATAGGTTGGTAGGTTGGTAGGTACTTAATGTACAAGTGTGTACAATATTTGTAAAACAAAAATACACCTTGTCTAACGGTACTTTTTTAAATTTCCATAAGTGTATTCAAAAGGAAAGTACAATAGTGTATGTACAACAAACAAACATTTGATGATCTGAAGTAAAACTACCTAGTGTAGAGGAGAAGTCGATTTATCAATTGGTCTCCTTGACGGTACTCATACTGAATTTATTTTTACTGACATTTTTATGTCTACGTGATTCAATTGATATGAAACTGTATTTTACACTATATGTCCGACAGTATTCCAAAATACTTATTCAATATAAAGATGATCCATGAAATATACATTATCTTAATTTACTGACAATTATTTTTTAGAAACAAATAAAATCGCTAGAATAGGCAATTTAACTTTTAGTGACACACTTACGATGTAATTATTTACCCCAGAATATTTTTAATATTTTATAAATTATTTCTTTACTATAATAATAATATAATATAATAGTAATATAATGAAAAAGATATTTTATAATTTGTAATTTAATAATATATAATGGATAATCAATAAAAATTGAATAATGTAAAGAAAAAACTCCACCCAACTACATGGTCTGATACTGTGTGTGTTACTAAAGGTTAACTATAAGCGCAGCTAAAATAAAATTTTCGTTAGGTTTATTTTATTTTCCCCTACCTTAAAAAATACTTTTACATAACATAACAAACACAATTATTTTAAATTGTAGCGATCTAAGGCTCTCTAGTTGCACCTATGGCTTTAGCAGCATAATAATGGAAATGTTTCGATAAATTAATGTTTTAAAGCGATTGGATTCTAATAATTCATTAACTGCATATACCAAGGTAATTTAGATATAACAGAACATTAGTAATATTTAAAAAATATTTTATATTCAATATGACAATACGAAATATTTTTGTTAACATAGCAAATAGTTGACTAATTTAAGTAAAAAACATTACTTTTAACATCTCCTCCGCCGTAAATATATTCAGAGCTGTACGTCAAAACTTTTACATTCCTGCGAGTGAATCACTCGAAGTTGTACTACTTATTTTTAATTAAGAATACACATTTCCAGAATATTATAAAATTCTTGTTCGAATAGTTTTTAATAGATGCTTAACTGAATGGATTTAAGTGGCGATTAGAGTGTATTTTTTTGAAAAGCTTTTTATTAAGAAATATTTCTATTTTATTTTTTATGGCTTAATTATGTTAACGATTACATGTTGAGGTCAATTGTTAGCTATGTTATTGTTACAAGTTTTATTACAACAGAACGTTTTGCCGACGGGCGTGAATAAGTTTATCAAATTAAAACGGTACCGGTTTTTAATCAAATTACTCATCTCAGATTTCTACTTATTCGTTTATGAAGACTAAATTTTCAACTTAACCCGAGGACGCAAAACTAATTAACGTCAATGACTCGGGTACGCGTTGTCTTTGTAAACGAATACTTGTTTTATAAAAAAATAAAAACAAAATGAATGAAATCAACCCTAATAATAATATAAATATAAGATCATAATATTTCACACACACTATCTAGTAATATGTTGGCGACAATGTTCTGGCACAAAGCTGTATCGAATATTGATGATTCATGTGACAGTGATACAACATGTTTGACCAACGGTGAAACTGCATCACTGTTGGGCTATCAATGTTAGCTTGGCCTGTCAAAAACATCAACGACCCTCTCGGGAGAACTTTATCCTTGAAAATGACTATTTTTAACGTATAGCCAACGAAATAGGATATCGAAAAGGTCCGAATTCTGTTTGATAGCTTTGCTACTGTATTTCACACGTTTTTGTACGTTTCGATATTTTTTCTCATTTCTTCTCTAATATAAAATACATAGTTCTAACAATAAAAATTAGTTTATTTAAAGATTAACACATTCGTTGCTACAGGAACCCTTCTTAGTAAATTCAACGTTATTTGTTTTTCACTAACAAATTTCATTGCTTTAAATTCACGAGATTTTATACAAGTTCTAGAAAGGTTTTATTTGACATTCTGTAGGTAAATTGCACACATTCATAAGATGTTAAATCAACACATAATAATAATCACATTTCACGTGTTTGCTTTTCAATTGATCATCCAATAAAGACTGCATTAACCATTAAAAGTTTTGAATTCTGAAGGACACAAAATATTCATTTTAATAAGATTTCCACAAAAAGGAGATAAACTTTTTATTTGGCCTAACAATGAACTTTTGCACGTTACCTTTTTTTCAATGTATCTCTACCAACTTTATCACTCTCACTCATTAGCACAGCTTTTCTTTACTATTACTTTCTTATTTTTACATTTTCATATACCATGTTACATTTATTTTTCGTTAAAGTTTTGTGACACACTGAATACAAAAAAAAAATTAGCGCCAAATAAAAACAAATTACCAGACCTCCTATATCGAAAAAAGTTTTTGCTCGTCAAAATGCGTAGTGAATGTATTTGTAGCCATTGTGACAAAAATTCAAGTTTTCAATTTTTTTCTAGTCAAAGATTTTGAAAATAACAAAGGATGTGTTGTAAATAAAGTTTGATAACATAATCAGGGGTCGCTTGTTTGTCCAAATTCTGTCAAACAAACTTAAATGTCGTTTTAAACGTTTTTATTTTTATTTTGCAGTAAACATAAAAACACAATCAACAATCGTCATAAAAAGTTGTATGCTTTTTAAAATAATAGTTATTAAACAACTAACTCGTTACTTTCCGATTAACAATAATAAATTATTATTTATAGTTATTATGCATGACATATCATTAAAATATAGTCAACATTTGAATTTAATACCCACAAATATACATACAAGATATCTCAGACTTAACTGTCAACGCTTAAAAATGTTAATACTTTTATTAAAACATATTTTTTTTTATTTATCTCTAATAAAAAAATACAAATTTTCCTTTTTTTTTTTAAAAAAATTTAAATTTGCCATTTTTAATTATTTTTATACAATAAAATTTGATGGATCGATAACGATTTTAGGACAAGTATTCATTGAGCATTTTGACACATTATGTGGGTATGTAGTGAGGGTGGGTTCAACTCGTACTGGTTTACATACAATTTATCCGCATTCCATACTCACCCTATTATCAAAATGCTTGTAACTTAATGAATGCTTATCCTGAAATTGTTATTAACATTTTTTTGTAAGAAAAGGGCTAAAAAATGGATATTTCTAATTTTTGAAAAATAAGAAATTTTATTTCGATCAATCTTATTTTTTGAATAATTATTAGTATGTTTTAAACGTAGTCTAAGAAAAAAATAATTATTTTTAAAAAAATTTTTAACAAAATTATAATTGTGTAAAAAGTTATAAGTATTGATTATTTAAATCTGAGATACCCTGTATATATTTAGTACTATAAATTAGTATTATAAACGGAAAGAATGACCTTTAAATGAAATATTTTTAATTTTAACTCTTGTTGAATCTATGATTTTGACAGTTTAATTAAATATTTACCGTATCCCTTGTTAGCTATATTCATCAGAATAATTCAATGTGGATTAATTAATTAAAGTCTATAAACCTTTTAACTATAATATCTGATTGCTTTTCGATTGACTCTCTCTCATCACGACTTACTATTAATTATATACTAATCTAAGATTTTGAAGTGGAAGGAAAATATAATAATGTAAATTTGAATGTTTTAGCATACGGAAATTTGGGCTCAATTTTGAGTAGTCAAGGCCGATTAAATGAAGCAGAGACTGCATTAAGAACCGCTCTTAAATATCGACCAAACATGGCAGATGTACACTACAACTTGTAAGTTACATATTTAGATAAGTTATCTGTTTTAAATTAATTTAAGAAATGATAATTGATTATAACTCCAGGTCCAAATTATGGAAGAGTTTGTAGGGACATATTTCTGGAACCTATCTCAATTTAGGTGATGATAATTTCAATCTATGGAGCTACTTATAAATGTCCATTTTTGGTTCTCAAAACTCCTCAATTTAATTCTATCTCTATGAAATAAATTTTGAATCCATATTGATAAAAATCATATTTATGAAGTGCAATAAAAATATTTTAAATTAGAAATAGACTTAACGGCTAAGAAAAATAAGTATCAATAAAATAATTTTTTAAATGAAATACATTTAACAAATACTTACTAGAAATCGATTATTTGTAATAATTGATGATTGTACTTCAAACCATCCACATTGGTCTAATTAAAACTTTTCAATGACACCACCTAAAATCTTTATCTTCTCTAGTATACGCTAGTTTCTACGACTACGCAACTGCTGATGACATTACGTGCTTTGTTGGAACTCATTAATCAGTAAATCCCTTAGCAGTGTGTACATCTCCAGTACTTGAGATAATTCCACCAGATTGTCACTTTTGTCGGGTATTTTTGATTGCTGGCGAACGCGTAAATTTCATACCATTGGTTGAATTTTGGCCAAAAACTACCGAGCCAAGTCAACTCTGATTAAATTTCATTGGACAGTTATTGCCTATCTCTAGTTTCTACATTTTGAGACGATATTCACTGATTGTAATTTTGTTGGGTCTATTTTTAATCCGCTGATAAATTAATTAGAAATACGACAAATTCTAAAGTTCCACTGTTTCTATTTGTTAACAAACATATTATCTATGTGTGTATATTTATATTATTAGTTATACAGCTAATGACGCACTAAGAAAAATATTCTATGTAGAAAGTGTTCGATAGAAAATTAGAAAATATTTAACCTGTAAGTGATATAACATTGGGTTTTTTTATTTTTTACATACGATTTTTAATAACAAAAATTATAAAAAATAAACAGAATATTTTCTCGAAATTCCTTTTTCTATACCTAATTTATGATTCAGATTTAAGTGAGGGTAATGGTAAGATAGAAGGGTTTACACCGGATAACAAATGGGCGTTGAAGTTATTCGGCAAAAGGTCGGCCATAAAATGACCGCGTGGGTACATGGCCGCCGGCGATTATGGGGTGTAACTTTAAATCATGATGATGGCTTAGAGCTTTATTTCGTGTCCAAAATACTCGCTTAGGGCCTATCCTGTTGTTGGCAGACTCCAGCACGTTCAATAATATACAGGTCGGTAAATATTCGATCGTGTTGATACGACATCTCGGATCTCTTATTGTGGTCCACAATAGCTGGCGGCGGACTCCGTGTGGATTCGGCATACGCGGGAAAATCTTGTAGTATTGCACAACAATAAAGCAAGTGCTAAAGTTAGTACGCTGATCACGAAACGCCTAGTTTGTTTTTAATCCTGACTGCAAATTGCCCTCAGGTCGTGTGTTATTTGCTTTACCGAATGACATGTTTCTCAACCAACACCAATATTGTGTGTGAGGAACGGCGTGCGTTTACTTCCGGTGTTGCTAGCGTCCCTCGTTTTTTCACCATAGCGGGGTGGCTTAATCCGACGAAAACGTGTTCTATTTCATCCCTCTCTTTTCTACCCTTCATCAATCCACGTTTAAATGGCAACACAAAATAAAGTCCGGTCAGATACTTCCTGAATGATGTATAAATGTAAACGCGATTAGAACTCACCGCCAAAACACAAAAACCAGGCCAAAAAGTCAATTAGGTGGGCTTGTATGTGGTTTATAGTTGGCGTCCATCTCGAAATGTGATCTCCGGGCTGTTAAAGAGGTCAGTAAAATAATCAGTAGCCACCAAAAGTACATCATACAAAATATTTTATGGAGAGCTACAAATAAAATGCCTGTGTATTAAAAAAATATACGCGATATAATTACCTATTCATAATTATAACTAAAAGTAAAATAAAAAATAAATAAATGAAATATTTCAAAAAATAGTTAATAACTATTAGTTATTATTATAATTACTAATAGTTGCGTGTTCATGAGAAAATGTATGTGCTCAGATGTGTAATTTCTTAAACTTGGAAATATTGATTTATGAAAAACAGTGGAAAGTGAAGAAGAAAAGTGTTCTCTATAGATAAACCTTTAGAGAAATGTTTCATTTCTTGTGAGCTACACAAATATTAACATTTTGAATACATTTCTTGAACTCATATAAATGTTTCTAGAATAATTATAGGTTTATGGTTTAATCACCTCATTTATGGTACTGCTATGCCCTTAAGATGTAAATATTACAACCGCAATATTAAAACTTTGTTGTAAAATGAAATTATTAAAACGAACATTTTAGATATCACATAATAAACCGCGTTGATATCTTCAGTTTATTACTTTTGTATTTTCTCTGAGTAAATTTCATTCAGTTTAGTATGATGAATAAAAATTAGGTAAACAGATTTAACATACCAGACAATCATACAAACTCGTAGTTATTGGTATTTACTAGAGATAAAAGGTAAATATATATATATATATTTAAAAATGAATAATTTAAAATATTGTCTTATAACCACTTGGAACCATAACATTACCTAGTTACTAAATCAGTATTCTTTTTCAATGGCATATTATACAAGATGTTTAAAAAGTAAGGAAACAGGTTAAATGTCACAAACAATGTGAACAATAGAAACCCGTTTCCTTACTCACTGATCACTTTACATGATGACAAATAACTAAGATCGTATTGTTTTTATGCCAACTGTTAATTTATTCGCTGAATTTAAAGTTAAATATTCCGCATTATTTTTTTTTAATTTACATTTAATAATTTTTGTTTTAAACCTTACTTTTGTGAGTAATGTAAAATTTCAGTAATGTTTATATTTTGTATTATAAGTTTAAAAACAACTATATAATACATTACTAGTATTGGACTCTTCTAAATGTAAAGAAATTTGGTACCCATTTTATTGTAGGTAATATTCTTATTTTTAGTGTAACAAATAAAATATATTTATTTTTTAAAAACTTGTGAAATTCTCACATAAATATATTATTTAAATATGCTTAGTACTTAAATATAACTATTGATTATTGAGCAACTTTTTAAATGTTTGAAAAATGAATTTTGATATAATACAATTTGATTACTTGTAACTAATATTATTTAAAATTAAAAATATATATGTTTGAAATATTAATGTAAAAATTAAAAAAAACCCAGCACAGTGGGGACGTGGTATAGTTGGGTCCAGTATAGATGATATCTGACAATGATTAATATCACTATCATAAAAAACGCTTCGATGCAAATCTGTAGATAGTCTTTAATTTTAATAAATTGGTTGATTATTCTAAAAGCAAAATTAACTCCTATTTCTATCATTATTCCTAATTAGTAGTTGATTTATAAGTATAATTTATGAATAAATATCTATTAAAGAAATTAGTTTTTAATAAAAAAAAGTTGAATTTGTTACCATAACTTTAAGCTCAACTTCAAGTTTGAAATTTACATTATTAAATAGAAAATTTTATGAGAATAAAGAAATGGTATTGTTAAGATTAATATGCAGTCAGGACTTTTTTAAATTACTATTTTCTATAAATTTGTCAGAAAATCTCAATATCTTTTTTGCATTTTAATTGTAATAGATCACTTAAATAGAAATCATAGTGATCATTTCTAAGTAATTTTTGGTGATTAAAAATATTATACAATTGAAATATTCAGAACAAATTTTATTTTAATGATTTACTTTAACTAGAAAAAAACCCAGCACAGGGGGGTTGCGGCACAGTAGTGACGTAGCATAGTTGGATCAAGTATAATGATATCTGACAGTAATTAAAATCACTATCATTAAAAACGCTTCGATGCAAATCTTTAGATAGTGTTTAATTTTAAAAATTGGTGGATTATTCCAAAATCTACATGATCTGCTATTTCCTTATTTATATCCTGAATGAAAAAGGGATTATTAAAAAATATTATTTCTCATAAAAAAATTGTGTTGATCCATACACTTTTCAATAAGTTATAGCATTATAAAGTTAAAAATGGAAAATAAAAAATCGAGAATTTTCACACAAAAATAGCATTTGGTAGCCATTTTCACGACGAAGACAAGTCCAGAGGTCAAATTTTTTTTTTCCATAATAATGTACGTTACATAAGCTTTAATTTAAGATATACAGAGTGATTTTTTTATCATAACCCACTCAATTACTTACAGAATAATAATAATTAAATATTTTTTTTTATTATTATCTTTAGTTACACATTATTCTTAAATTATTAACTATGTAATACTTTTTAAGTTCATCCTTTATGCCTGGTAAGGGTGTCAACTTTGTTATTTTAAATGGTAACACATATTTTTAATTTAATAAAATGTTTGAGTTTTTAATTCAATAATAAATAGCATTTGAATTTTTAATGAAACTTAATTTGTTTATTAGATATAAACATTTAAAGTTTCAAATTTTTGAGTTAATATATAGATATAATACACAAGGGATTACAAATACAGGTAGCTAATTGGTTTTTTATGATATTGCTATCACAGTGACGGATTGTTTATTATCAATTATGACTATCAATAGATATACTTTTTGTATTGTCAGTTAGTGTATTTATAAACTCACAATGTACCTTACTATCATTGATAATAACAATGCTGTGTACCTGCTAATATCGATGTCATAAAAAATCAATTAGCTACCTGTATTTGTAATCCCTTGTGTATTATACCTATATATTAACTCAAAAATTTGAAACTTTAAATGTTTATATCTAATAAACAAATTAAGTTTCATTAAAAATTCAAATGCTATTTATTATTGAATTAAAAACTCAAACATTTTATTAAATTAAAAATATGTGTTACCATTTAAAATAACAAAGTTGACACCCTTACCAAGTATAAAGGATGAACTTAA